CTGAAATTGCAGCGACCAACCTGCGCCCAGACCTGGTCCTTTGGTCCAAATCCTGTCGAAGTGTCTTTATAGTGGAGCTGACAGTCCCGTGGGAGGAAGCCATCGATGAGGCATTTGAAAGGAAAAGGTTGCGATATGCAGAGTTGGCTGCCGAAGCAGAGGACCGGGGTTGGAAGGTAAACGTGCGTCCAGTGGAAGTGGGCAGCAGGGGCTTTGTAGCTAGTTCCACCACAAGGCTGCTAAAGGAGGTTGGAATCAGAGGACAGGCTCAGCGGAAGACCATCAAAGACCTTGCAATTGCTGCCGAAAGAAGCAGTCACTGGCTGTGGCTGAAGCAGAAGGAGACGGTATGGGCTGCCAAGTGACCTCATGGAGCCTCCGGTGCGACACACACCCAGGTCTGATCAACCTGTGGTGGGCCAGCCTCGGGTGAGGGTGTTTTGTGAGAAAAGGCCGAAACACCCAATGAGGCCGGGGTGCACAACTGAGGATGTGTCGTATTGGAGGCACCAAGCGGTCATCCCCCAATCCAACCCTACCCAAGAGGACATCTCCAACAACAGCGCTTGCTGAACATCAAGGGATTTTTAACACCTAGTCCTAATAAGCATATTATAAAGAGAAACGATCGGTTTGTGCAAGAAACTGAACGTTATTTACAACATTATTACCTGTAAGTACCTAATCCACAGCCTCGGCATACGTCCTGAGCGCATTCATGGCAGTGTGGAGCACGAGCTTCCTGTCGCATTTTGTATGGCCTGAGGGTAACGCCGCCTTCACACTGGCAGTTGAAATCAGCTCCGATACGACCGGAAGTCATTCATTTCCAATGGAGATTCGCGGACCGCATGCGAATGGGTCCGAAACGGGTCCGACAGAGTGCGGTGCGAAGAAAATCGTGTCCGTTGGTCATCCGGAGGCGTTCAAAAAATTGAACTCTTGCGAAAAGCTACGGACGGTTCCTATCCGACAATTCCAGCGGAAGTTAGCGTTGCTATGATACTGATTAACAAACCTGAATTCTTATCGTTATAAAATCATTATTTATTTTATTAAAAGTTAAGTTGTCATGTCATTTTTTTTTATTTTCATGATTTGATAACGTTATTAGGGCAGTTAATACAATTAGGCAGACATCGAACTAAATGTGATATAGTGGTATAGGCTAAATGATACCACTATATCACATTTTTTAGCCGACCTGACATGTCAACGTCCTGAGCAACTTTCCTCACGCAGCAGCCTTCCTATTAATATCTCTATAACCCTCATCAGAGAGATCATACAGAACTGACAGAATCAACTTTTCTAATCTCTCCGCCATTTTTGTTCTACCCGCTTCCGACGCTTACATGCGCTTAGAACCTTTTTATGACAATGCCACAAAGTATCGCAAATGACCAATATTATGAAGCTGCAGACTCGGAGCCTGCATCTAGTCCCCCACCGAGAGTCCCGCATTCTCAGACCCCTCGTTTTTCGAACACAGCGCCTCCTGCTGTTCGAAAGATCGTATAACACCCGCACACAGAGTATAACGCACGCTTATCCAAATGCAATATTATATTTGCTACAATGTTTTTTTAAATATTTTTTTTATTCAAATTCCAATTTTTCTTTCAGTTCAACCTATAATGGTCTAATTAACATTACCATGCTAACATTACAAAATCTGTTTTTTGATATTTTGAATGCGAAGCAAAACAAATCAGAATAGACAACACACAAATAATAAACAATTCTGTACTTTATTTAATGATCACCTAAACATCATCTTGCTGTAAAGAAAAAAGGAAGAAAAAACTGTGTTCGTGACTTTACTTTTCGTCTTCAATTGCATTAAAAAAAACTAATTTATGAATCGCTTTGCATAATCATAAAATGATATGTTGCTGGGCTCGGCATGGGCGACTCCATCGATGTATGGTGTACCCTGGGATAGCCTACAACAGTGGGCCTATAGGCCCGATAGCACGTCTTATGATGTTTCAAAAAGAAAGAAAGAAAAAGAAAAAAGATGTTTGCAAAATACTTCATGTTGCAGTGCTCTGTTGAAGTGTCCCTTGAGATGTTTTTGAACTTTGGACAACTTTGTGGGTTTGAAATATATGGGGGCACAAATGGGCAGTGAAAATCACTGCAGCATTTATGACATATCTACAAAAAGTCCAAGGTTAAAGGCTAACGTTAGCTATTAAAATATTTTCGGGGGGAAGAGGGCGAAAAAACATACATTAACGGCTCAAATCTTGTTACAAACTATCTTTACAAATATTAAATGGACTATTCATATGTTGTATCGATGAGCTAAATTAGTTTTATTAAAAAATAAATCAAACGAGTAAGCTACTACGATTCGCTAAATAAAATTGAAGAAAGCCTACTCACGTTTTGGCTTAAGCTCTTCACATGTTCTTCACATGTTTATCCGATACAATTTGATAGGAGGCGCTGTCTCGAAAAACTAGATGCAGGTCTCCGAGTCTGCAGCTTCATACTACTCCAAATGACAGTAATACTATGAAAAGTAGCATGGTATGGTAACCTATGTCAGACAAGGACTTGCTGAGCTTGGAAGCCCATGCAAATTATTTATTTCTTCAGCCATTAGTGTTGTAGCAACTGGGCAGAGGGGTGACTCCTACATCCATATGCAGTAATGACTGTCACAGGTCATATGAAGAATTTGGTATTTGTATTACTCTGATTTATATGAGCATTAAACAGATATTTTGGTCTACACACATTCTCTCTTTCTATTTGATATTAATAATGGTATTATTACATTTTAAGTTACAGCACAGAATGAGAAAACATTTTAAAGCTATTTAGATGAATAATCAGACTACAAATTTAAGATCTAGGGTAAGTGCAACTCACTGTCAATACTTTTTCAAACTAAATATACTGAAACTAGACAGCATACTTAAAATAGTATGCGCCCCACACAATTTGTAAACATCTTACCTTACCTGGAATAACCAAAAAAGAAAGAAAGAAAAAAAAAAAGGCACAAAATCCTAAAACATCTGCCATATAGCGTCGGTTGGTCATCTAAGATTTTCACCTTCAGCCAGTGTATCTATAATGTGGTACTGTGATACAGTATGCTACAGTAGTTCAGTTTCACCATACATTATGCTCAATAATATGAAATGATCCACCTTATCCAGTTCGGCTTGTCAAAATCTCTGAAGAAACACTGAAAAATGTAAGTGTTGAACAACAGATAGATATGGATGTCTTTTATTAACCCCAACATACATTTGTCAGTTAGAAAAGTATGAGATACACATTTCAAGTTACTTCCATGTTTTCTCTTGTGCAAACACTAGATGGTGCCAGAGGTCATTTAAAACAATGTTTGAAAACAAAAAAAACTTAATGCAGGACCAACTAAACAAAAAAAGAGCAATAATAATAATAATAATAATAATAATAATAATAATGTGCATTTAAAAATTAAGTTGATTCATTTTTTGTCGAATTTAATGATTCCCAGCTTCATATAAACTGGATGTTGAGGCATAAACATCATACATTTCTACAATTCAACAAAAATATAACCAATATTTACAATTATTGTATTAAAAATACAAAACAAAAAGACACAAAAAAAGAACAAATACATACTCCACCAATTGTCTTTGTAAAAGACGTACAGGTAAAAGTAGTCAAAAAAAGAGTGAATCTTCACCAGCTAAATGTACACGTCTCACTTGACATCACATATCGAACAGAGTAGCAGAACAGCTACCTACTACTATTTACCTTGTTTATTTATGCTTGTACAATTTGTGCAACTTATTTTGCAAAACAAGCGACTCATTTTGGCTTGCCAAAACGTGAATATTTACTAAAAAAAAAAAAAAAAAAAATTAAGTGGAAGCAGATGGTCGATATATTTACTGTTACAAATGTGTTGTTATTAACAACTGTATCCGCAACCATTACTAAAAAAAAGAAAAAAAGAAAAAAAAGTGTGGGGGCCAAAAAAAATGAAAAAAACAAACAAACAAAAACCTACAAACGAACAAACAGGCAACTAGAGAAAGAAACACTGAAGTAGTGATGTTACAGGATACAGTGGAAAACACTGCAAACTTCTTTTTTTCTTCTCAAGTCTATTGTTTCTAACTACTGATCAATGTGATCAGTTTAACTCAGTGATTAAAATAAAAGAATGAAAGTGACGTGCTCCCACCGGTTCAGTTCTGCTCTGGCTGGCAGGCTTCAGGTGGGTTTGCATGGAGTCTCAAAAGCACATTTCAGTTCAGTTCCTGTGAGTGATTGTGGAGGCTGTTGTGCAGCAGTGGTATTTAGATCAAGGCCCACTCCAGGAGAAACATGCACAACTTGAATCCTCAAAGAAAAACCCCACCGAAAACACTGTTTTTCACACACCTCCTTAAATGGCATCACTTAATGAGAGGAAGGAAGTAGCACCCGAATAGGATGACCCTATTTGCCTGAGTAGCCTTCAGTTCTCACCTTCACCAACAGATGTTGAGACGCAACTATAGAATTCTGCTTCAATTTCACTTTTTAGAGGCGCTGAACTGGTAAAACTGTGTCGAAGATGAATGTGTACATTTCCTCTCCACCACTAAAAGCTTCCTGCAACTGAACTGGTTCACTTTTAACGGACTTTGGCGGCTGGATTACCCACAGATGTAGATTTGTTCAGTCTGTTATTTCTGTATCACGTTTGTTATGAGCTTTTTTCATTCATACTTTCTTACGACTTTGAAACACACTAAGGCCAAGAACCAATAAAACCACCCACTAAGGCTTTGCTTAGCATCGTTTCCTCTCACAAAGCGCCATCCTTATTAAATTGGTGTGCTACGTATGTCAATGATCAATGTGAACTCCATCATGATGTAGTCCGCCAGTAGAAGAGGTGTCCTTCAAGCTGTGCTCCTGCGAATATAATACTGTAATGCTAAACCACACAGATATGAGTGTTGTCGTCAGGACTGATGTGAACAGATGATAAGTTGTAGTCAAGCCTTTTTTAGCCATCCAAACTGCATGTCCAGAATCAGGAGATTGAAACGTTGATTGTGTGCATCTGTTTACACCTTAAAAACAGTTTAAAAAGTGCTGAGGGGAACTACTAAACACGTTAGTGTGACCTTTAAGCAGAAGGAAAGAGTAAATTGTCTGAAGACAACCGTTAACAGTAGTTTGTTTCTTGTGTGTGAATGTCGAAGCGCTGTGTTCGAGTTTCAGTTCAGTTCATATTTCCATTCTCCAAAGTGCCAAATAAGTTATTTTTTTGCTCGCCTCCTTTCTTCACAGTATTTTTAGCATGCAGGGCATCAAACCCCCCATTGCATTAAGGCAGGGCAGGGAGAAGAATCCATCATTGAGGAGGGAGAGAGGCAGTGCCGGCAAGATGTAGACTGGATGGTCTGTCTGTCTGACCTGTGAAGGCCTGATATGGGCCATCAGTCAATGCAGCATCCGTATAAAAGCCAGTGTCGTCCCCTTTCAAACAGCGGACACCTGTTCATCCTCTGGAGGGAGAAGAGAGAAAATCTGTGAGCATCATGGACACAGTCTCTTACACATAGGCTCTGTTCCAAACCCAAGGAACATGTGAAAATGAACCGTTGTTGGTGACACATAATGTGATTTCTCATTATCTCCACAGAAACTACCTTTGGTGTCGCATACTTTGCATGTCTTGCATTGCATTCGTAGGAAACGGATGCAAATGCAGTTCTGTGCATGTTACATTTTGGAAGTATAAGCACCTGAAATTCGACATGGCAAAAAGCTGCCACTAGAACACACAAGGATACTTATGTTAAGGACACAAGCAAGCCATGGTTTGTAACTAAATAATGGAATACTAAAAACAATAAAAATAAATTAAAAAACAGCAGGGCAAGTAAACTGTATTTGGGGCTCAGACCAACAAAATATCTCAAATGGTGACTAATTTGAAATGCTTAACATAAGTGGCAACATATTAACAATCAATCACTTACAAGTGACTCCTCTAACCATAACTGTTAAATTAATATACAACTATAATTTTTCTTCCAAGATTGCGTATATACTGTACTTCCAGTACACACAATCTACACTATATCTATAAATGAACAATCTATGATTTGCTTAACTACACCATCTTGGAAGAAAGATTTCACATCCATTCTGGGTTTACCGTTCCTACAAAGATTACATGTATAACTGCCTTTGATTTCGGTCAAAATGTAAGGCAGCATAATCTTTGATGATGTCTAAAAAAAGCTGTCTATAGGAAACGCACTTGGGTTTGGAACAAAGTCATAGACAGACAACTAAATATAATAAGGAAATAAAATATGCTCTGGCATTACTATACCAAAGACAAACATGACAGGACAGGAAATACTTATTTTAAAACAAACAAAAAAGGACTACTATTGTGAAAATTCATAAAATGACATCTCAATTCAGGATCTGTGTGCTGATAAGTACTAGCATTATTTCATGTGCTACCTGACAACACAAACATGACTTCAGGTTCTATCATGTGTTCAAGCGTTTATGATGGCAGATCTAGTGATTTTCCTGTGAGCACTGATGGGTGAGAGCCAATACACACGGCAGAGCGGGGAGCAATGACTGGGATGTTGCCACGGCGACGGGGGGCAGGCTGTCTCCGTGGCGACGCATGCACTGTGTGAGATGCGTTGGTGGTTGGTGATGGTGGGCAGGTGAAGGAGCTGTCCTCCTGGCATGCAGAGACCGTGACTCGTGTGCGTAGAGTGTGTGAGTGTGTGAGAGTGGAAGTAACTGGAGTTTGGGATGTTTTACCTTCCTGCTGGGGTGGTGTATGTAACTCATGGCCTGGGGGGAACTGCTGTGTGTGGACCTCTCCTCCTCTGAGCTCTGAGTTTGGGAGACAAGCACTCACCCTCCTCTTCCACCTCCTCTGCCTCCTCGTCTTCTCGGCCCCGGGGGTCCGGCGAGTGGATGGGTTTTCCTGCAGCTGGGGGCTGCTGGGAGTCGGGGGAATGTGTGACAAGGCGGGAGCGCTGCAAGGCGGTGGTGTAGTCCGGGGGTCTCCTGCCTGAGTGAGCCGTGCCCTCGGTTACGTCCGTGATGGTCAGAGCCGTGTATCCCGGCGGCGTGGGCGGAGGGTCCCGGTAACGGCCGTCCTTCCGTGCTGGGGGGAGGAGACGGACACCACAGTTCCGTTTAATACCCGTAACGCTTCTCACACACGCGGATGGACACATGCAGACATGCACTAGATTCAGGAAGGATTGTTTTTGTAGGTGGTCTGTGTTGTTCCACCTTGTAGCGTTCAACATGAACATTAAGTAATTAAAGTGAGTTTGTGTATGCTTATGGTTCATATACTGTATTTCTCAACCTGTACCATGTTTCATTTTCAGATGTATGTTTGATCATTGGGAATATGGTTTCAGCCTCTTCATGCAAAGATTACGACTTCAGCTTTTAAAGCATTGAAATACACAACACATAGGAAAGGATATAGAACTTGGAGTAGTTACTCTTAAAACAATAGTTACCCAAAAATGAAAATCTTTCTCCCAACACATCTTTCAAGTCAAATATGGCACCACACATAAAGTTTGACATTAAACTTTGATATACAACCTGGCAATAAAGGCACCATATTTGATTTTCAGTTAATTGAAATTTGAAAATTGTCTGTTCCCCACAGAAAGTTATTGTATGGCTTCATACAGCTTAGACCTCAGGCCGTATGGACTAATTTTATGGAAGATTTTTTTTGTCCATTATGAAGCTAAATGTTACTGAATGGACAAAAAGTGTGTCATGTTGCGTTCTATGAGAAAAAAAATAAGAGGATACGGCTTTGGATCAACATGAGGGTGAGTACATTTTAAGATAACTGTCATTTTTGGGTGAACTATCCCTTTAAACCAGGTTCACGTGGCGATTCTTACTGATCACAGCCTTGGTGTTTCCTGCGGTGATGGGCGAGGGGCGTCTGCTGTGCTGTCGGGACTCTTCTGAACCGGTGGAGGTGATGCTGCTGGTCTCTGGGTCTGTGGTCACATCCCTCCCTCCTCTTCGCTTGATGGTACCTGTGTCGCCCTCAGAGTCCTCGCCCCAACATGCCGCTGAGGACGAAGAGGAGCAGGCGGACGCCCAGCTCCCCCTGCTTCCCCACAGCCCTGCCCCCTCTGCCAACGCCTCCCAGCTACGCCCCTGTTGCATGGTCTGAATGTTGTCATGGGAGCCGCTGGAACATGAAGTCCAGCTGCCACGACCAGAATCAGCAGCGTCGAGAGACACCCGGTCACCCTGGTCCTGGGTAAGCTCCTCTGAGCTGGGAGAAGACAGCACGGTGGCGCCCGCATACAGACCCCGGCAGTCCTGCATGGATGAGTAGGACCTGAAAAAAGAAAAGTAGAAGGATCCAGAAGGGTTTAATAGTAATAATACATTGCCAGGTCATGATGGTCAACTTTGTCCAATAAGAGACTTGTCGATTAGTAAGGTTGATGACTTAATCTAGGATGACTTAATCTCCTGGAGGGCCACAGTCCTGCAGAGTTCAGTCCCAACCCTGCTCCAACACATCAAGCCCTGATCTAGACTTTTTCTTTGATATTTTGATGTGGCATTGGTATTTTCAGTGTGCGTAATAAAACCCTCTGGAAAAGTAAGGCCGGAGACACACTGGCTGCGTGGCGTGAGCGTGGCGTTTCTGTTGCGTGGCGGCTGCGTCGCATTTTCTGTGTCTTTGCACACCAGAAACGTGTCTGACGTGGCGCTGCTGCTGATAGGTGACGTACAGGAAGCCCTATACTTCATGTTAAGCATACATATAAAGCCTACTGATAAAGACACTGTCAGCAGTATTGACAGCAAAATAGACTACAGAATATTTCGTTCTGTATTGACAGGTGCAATATTTGAAAATTGATCATTATTAATTTTTTAATTATATTTATATCTGAATTTGTCAAAACCTAGACTTTCAACCATCAAAATGTAATTTATTAATATGTATTCGTGTACAGAATAACATATAAACATCTTTTCCTATTCTATTTTGCCTGGAAACGCTTCCAACACGCTTGCGTGTCGCGTGAAAAATAGGCGTCGGTTCTATTTCTAGCGTGTCACGCAGGCAGTCTGCAAGCTCTAACCTGTTAACATGGGAGCCGAAATAAAAACGGACACGCCACGCAGCCAGTGTGTCTCCGGCCTAATCCCTTCTAATACACATTCAGATGGTCTGCTCCATTGCATTGGTTTCACTTTTGTTACCCGCCACAAGAGTTGCACTTTTAATACTATGCAGGATTGAATTTTTTTATATCAAGAACCATGTATCCATTCTACTGTGATCTGATGACCTGGTTTTAAACACAAGAACATGTCTATAAATACTGTAAATATTGTCTGAGAAATTAGTCTGATTGGGGTCAGATGAGCTCAAAACCTAACTGACCCAGGGTTCCTAAAGGCCGATTAATTAACTAGTCATTCATGCAGCACACCAATTAGTTGAGAAAGTAAAGAGAGTTGTTTACCCCAAGCTGTACTGATCAGGGTCAGCTGTCGCCCTGCGCTCTAGCCGGTGACCACTAACATGGCCCTCTACAGCTATTCCTCCATACCGCTGCCTGCGTTCATCTTGCCCCATGTCCAGGGAGGATGTGCTCACCAGACTGGAGCGTGAGGAGATCTCACTGTGGCCAGAGTCTGACAGGTAATCACCAGCTCGTCCATAACCTGGCGAATGAGTACACAGAACAAAATGATCAGGAAACAGTTTGGCCCTAATACAGACCCCTGTGGTACTCCAGTCTATAACTGCCTCTTTTCACTTAAATAGGTTTTGTTCCAAACTCTAGAGATCAACCTTCCTGCAAACCATGTACAGCTGATTTGTGAGAAAACTCATTATGAGTTTGATGTTAATGTAAGTGTACAACACTACAACAATAGCACACAAAAATATTGAGTAAAGAAGTCAAATTCTTCTGACACCAATTTCAAATGACTTCCTAAAGAGGTATATTTATAACTTTTTTTTGCTGTCAGATGTGTGTCTTAAAAATGCTGTGAAACAGAGTTACTGAAAATATATGACTTATTATGTCAGTGTTCACATAGTATTGCTACATTTAGTGGTTGCAAAGTCGTCAATTGAAATAAGTAACTAACAATTGCAAAATAGAATTTAACCTTCCCACAGAAGATACGCCTTACAGCTTACACCATGGTGAAACTGATGATACAATAATAGTGCAAGATAGAAGATGTTATATTCAGGGTGTCAGAGAAGGTTCAACTCATAAAATGCACAACACAACAGGTACACAAGTAGATCTTTCAATCATTTATGTACTGAGACTACTCTACATTAAATAACTGTACAAAACCCCCCATAAAATACTACACTACTGCCAGAGCAAAGCATTACTGCCAAAACTCCCATTTCTTAACCTAGCTAATCAATAGATAGATAGATTGTTTTATTTTAATGCCATGTCAGCATCTAAGGCTATTTTCCCTAGATAATCAAAACCAGGCAGTTACTTCAGTAGCAGAGCAGTTCGGGCTCTACAGTACACACACACACACACACACACACACACACACACACACACAGTTACAGCACTAGCCTTTTTCTGTCAGCTAGGAGCAAAAAAAGAAAGAAAGAAGCAAAAACACTGTCTAGACTTGGCGAGAGAGATCACTCAAATGTCAGAATATACATATGATGATATTTCTGATATTTTTAAATGTATAAAACCATTAGTAGTACAAACCTCCAACTGACACTGTACTATATAACACAATAAACACAATAATATTTGATATTACTACTAAAAGTTTGGACACAAATGTTACTGATTATGCCAATCACACCACTGGAATATCTTAGGGAAAGTCTGAACTGAAAACAAAACATCTCATTGGCTGTGTATCAATACTAAGTGAGCTGCCAAACTAGACAGCATTTTGGACAGGTTCTGAATCGTTCAAGTCAAACATACACAACTGTTCAAAAGTCTGGGGTCAGTGAATGAAATTAGTACTTTTATTCAGCAAGTTTTCCTTCAAATTGACAGTTAAGACATGCATAATGTATAAAGATTTTTATTTTAAATTAATGCTGTTTTTTACTTTCTATTCATCAAAAAATTCTGAATAAAATGGTTTCAACAAAAATATTAAGCAGCACAACATTATAAAAAGAAAGGAATCTAAAATAAATGTTTCTTGAGCACCAAATTTGCATATTAGAATGATTTCTGAAGGATCATTGTGACACTGAGGACTTAAGTAAAGCCTGGTGAAAATTCAGCTTTGCAGACACAAGAAATAAATAACATTTTAAAATATATTAAAATTGAAAACAGTTATTTTATATATTTCAGAATAATATTTCAGAACATCACTCAAAATTACTGAATGTTTGATCAAATAAATGCAGCATTGGTGGTGAGCATAAGAAAATTCTTTCAAAAGCATTAAAAAAAAAAAAAAAAAACTTTTGAACAGTAGTGTACCTCTAATGAATGATGAGTTAAGTAGGCAGTTCACTACATTTTGAGACACTGCAATAATGATGTTTGTGTGAACTCTCTCAGGCTAAATCTGCATCTAGGCCCTGTTACCTGTTGATGATTTTCTACAGAAGGAAGAAAAACCCTTCATACCATGGCTTCTTATAGCTGTGATGGCTGAATATAGGGGCAAAACAGGTGAGTAATGAGAGACAGAAATGTTATGTGATACATATTCAAAAGGAAAGATGGAAAGTCGTGCATCTGTAACTCTGAAATCGGAGACAAGCAGTGTTCCAAGATATTTTGTATAACAGCACTAGAACATGTCAACCTTGGCATAATATTGTATGTGTGATCTTTTTTCCACAAGATGGCAGTATCAACATATTAAATAAGCTATGAAAACATGTTGGCACTAAGGGGCGCCAGCTATCAGAGAAATGAACTGCATGCCAGTGGTCAGGGAACATGCTGTCTTACAATATATTTCACTGCATGCCCACCATAGAGCTTTGATTCCACAGTTCACCGATAAGTCAATGGGGGAGAGTAAATTGAGTGTTGCAAAGACCAGAGGTTGGAGAAAAACAACATATACCGAATGCTATAGTGTGTCTGACTCTGTGTGTCCATACCTTTCTTAGGTGAGCTGTGAGGAGACGTGGGAGGAGATGACAGCTGTGAGGAGTTGTTGGACACACTGTCCTCTGTCTGTTTCTTGTGTCTCTCTCCTGCCTCCTCTGAAAGGGACAGTATCTTCTTTAGAGACTGCGGCGAGCTTGTGCCTGTGCAAACACAATAAGACAGAGCCTTATGATAACCATAAATTAATATCGGAGGACCTGATTGTGTTCAAGTATCAAAATTATGTGGTCTTACCAAATGGCGGTAGGTCTTTGACCGGCACTTTCTTGCGAGATGGGTAGAGGGCAACGGCAGGCACTTGAAGCGCCTGGTTGGCTTTCTGAAGCTGCTGGCGCTGGTGGATGGCGGCCCGTGCGACCACGGGCGACGTGTCAGGTCTCTTCCGGTCCCCGGAACTCTTCGGCACTGTGAAATAGAAAGAATCTATTTGTAAACAACAAGCTGAATTATATATCTGATATTGAGGAAATAATAACAATATACCAATTAATTCAAAGAATAACCCACTAATGTCCAAAATAACTTTTAGCTTGAACTACTAATGGTGAATGAATGGTGGAAAAATTTACTCACACACTATAAATACTTCTTACTGGCCATGAAACTGTATTTTGCATTATAATTTTATTTTAAAAATTTTACTTATGACCAACAAGCTGTGGGGTATGCAGCTTTTTAATGTGTGATAAAAATGTCTGTTGTGTGTTCTTCTTCACATGCTATTGTTTTTCTCCTATTGGTATTTGTGTGTGCGTGCTTGCACCCTACTCACATGTGTTGATTGAGGGCTCACACTGCATTGAAAGTGTCTGCAGGCTCTCCTCATTTGTCTCCAGGGTGAGGTTGGACAGGTATTGTTTGACCTTGCGTGCCATCTGTGCATCCTCGTACAGCTTCTTGGCATTGAGAAAGGAACTCCGTCTGACCCGCTTCTTGTGCCCGCCTGTCTGGGTTACATCCAGGACGGCCGCATTGGCACTGCCCTGGCTGAGTGACCTAAACACACACACACATATTAGAGTTAAAGATGCAGTCGGACTTTAATAGTGTGTAGTATGCTGATGCAGGATCAGATGCAGTCCCTCACGCCGGTTTCACACTGCACGCGTTGGCAGAGCGTAAGCAGCGCAGGATCAGTGCGTACGGTGAGTGGAAGCAGGACACGCGCGTTTTGCTTTCACACTGGCAGTGTTTGACGCGCGTACAGACAGAGTACTCTATAATGGGTAAGTTGGCATTGCTTTATTTCGTTTTCAAATACATTTAAGAGAAAAGACTTGTCAATAAGCTTATTTTATTAATTAGTATATTATATAACTTTTGGTTCATCTTTGTTTTTGTAGTTTGGGCAACAAGTTTATTTTTGGACATTTGTTTTCTTTTTAAATTGATGAAGGTTATTTGATTGACTGTTTAAAACACAATAGATATCATCAATGCGCTTTTGGGGTAAAACTGCTGTGTATTTTGGCCATGATCAATGCATTGTCACTTTAATTCAAAATAGACTGGGCGCCGAAACTATCGCGGCACTGCTGCTCCTGCGCCGCATCTGCGTGCGGTGTGAATGCTCTAATCTGTTAACATGGGCGCCGAAAAAAATACGCGCAGCTTACGCTCTGCTAACGGGTGCAGTGTGAAACCGGCGTCAGTCTTTTTGACATGCAGTAAGTTGCATTCCTTGCAGCTTTAGTACAATCCAAACACTCCATGCATTTCACATCTCAGCCAATCAGGCAGTTAAAATGCGATGTTATATAAACAACAGAAGTATCGTACTAAAACTCTGCATGAGATTTAGGAAGAATCACTGATGATTTCCATTATTTTTGGTCAAATATATATATTTTAAAATTTCTGAGCAAAAGCATTGGACAATTTTTTAACCATTTATTTTATGCTTAAAGGTGATGTGCATAATTTCTGCACCTCTAGCATCATTAAAATCTTTGTATGTTAAGCTAAAACAGGAAAAAGGATATAACCCAGTTAAAACTCAAAAAAGGTCTTATAAAAGGCAGGGTTTGCATCCATACACAATCTTAGTTTAAACTAATAATTATTTTTTTAAATAATGACTAAAGAAAATAATTAAAAAGCAATTAATAAATAAAATAAAATAAAAACACAACACTGCAAATACTTAGTAAAAGACGTGCAGCTACGGTAAGTAGTTTAGCTGGAAGGGGCACGTTAAATCACTTTTGCTAAAAATGGATCATGGGACATCAAATTATTAAATGAGCTGGAACCAAACAACTGTAAATAAATTCATGCATACTGGTGGGGTCATGTTTGTGAAACATTCAAAATCTACGGTGGTAATACAACAGAAACATTAGGATGTCTTTTAGAATGAGGTGAGTTTATTCAATGACCCTGAGTAGCAAAAGTGATGGTGGTCAAATGCTTGGATGGGATCCGTCAGAGCAGAAGCATTCTCAAATGAACCAGAAAAATAAAAATAAAGGATGGTGAGGAGCCAGCCCAAATTAAAGGAGGGGGCACACATGAGGCCAAAGGTGAGAGTTCACCATACTCACCCCAAACTCCTCCATTTCTTCTTCCTGTAAGGGAGAGCCATGAATAGTGAAGCGTGGGGCAGAGGGGGTGGACGAAGAGAGAAATGGGGAAGAGAGAAAGCCATTGAGAGAAAGAGAGGGAGACACACTTAGATGAGGAGAAACAGACCAAGGGTACCAAGGTGAGGTGCACCAGAGACCAAAAGAGAGACAATAACTTCTCTGACAATAATGCAGACAAAGAGTAACATACAGTACACAATGGTTTAACTCTCCTGTACGTAAACATCACAAACACTTCAAAAAACCTTAGTAAAACGCCCGTGTGTGGAAGCGTGAGGTGAGAGCTGTACACATCGCAGTGAGTGGGCACTAAAAGCTACTCAGTGGTGTGAAGAGTCCAGTCTGGAAGAAAGGCAAAGAAGTCATTGTAGCAGTCAAATCAGGAAGGCACTCACCTGGTTCTGAACATCAGAGCTGGGTCCATGTTTACAGCTGCCATCCGGCCTACGTGTCTGATTTCTTTAGCAATCATCCGCAGCTTCTCAAAGTTCACCAAACCGTCCACCTTCGAGTCATTTCCTAGAGTTAGCAATAAAGAAAGGGCGGATATCATGCATTTTTTAAAATAACTTTTTTTTTCCTCAGGTAAACTTATAATGTTGAAGTCATATTATAGGACGTGACCATATTTTACACTCTTGTACTACTATCGCTGCGTCTGCGTATATGCGCTGCGTCTTTAACCCCTAACAAATAAACAAGCACCCTTTGCATGTGAAATAAGAATACTTCAGTAACAGCCTCTTTGTAAACCTTAAATCAAATGCACCGCACAAACTATTAAGATCAGACAGACATAGTCACTGTCCTAATTAGAAACAAACTTTAAAGGATATGCAGAGTTGTAGGTGCTTTTCATGGAATATAAAGGTATTTTATCTATCCGACACAATCTCTTTATTTACTATTACTGACAAATTCCCAAAACCAAAACTAAGTGATGTTCAATAATAAACAAACATGGATACTATACATGCCATCACCTACATCAGTGAGAAGCATCTTACCTTCATGCAGGAAGGTGAGATCCTTCTTGATTACTGGGAAGAGAGGGATAATGGGTGGTTGCAGGTTCTGGCTGTTAAGAAGGTTCCGGTACTTTGCCATATTCCTGGAGGGATCAAATAGGTCTTGAAGATCACTAAACAGCTTCTCATATTTACTGGGCAACTTCTCCCATGTGCCTCTCAGCCTGGACACCGGTGCCAAATTCAGACCACTGGAAAAGACGCACAACGCCATTGTTATTTGAGACACCAAAAAGGGTCTTCAATTTAACCCTACATGTTTTACTCTTGAACTCAAGACTCATTTTACCTGATAATGGCAAACATGGAGTTGAAGTTCTTGCACTCGCGGCAATGCAGTGCAATTTTAATGAAGTGCTTGATGATCTTCATGCGTTTGAGCTGGTTGGGCTCACGCACCACTTCCGTGGCCACCCAGAAGGTCTCCCGATTGATGGCTTCCTCAAAGAGCTTGAGGCTGGGGGGCCCGGTAAGGCGAGTTTTCAGCTTAAACAGGTCATCAATGTACTCTGTGGGCTCAATGGCACAGAACAACTCGAAGGCGCGCATGGACAGCTGGGTCGCCACTTCCACCGTGCTGAGCTGCAGCAGGCTGATATGGCTCTCCCGTAGCAGTTCCTGGGCATCTTCATCCGAGCACAGCGTCTCTGTCTCCATGTTGCTTTTCAGGTAGTACCTACAAGTTAAATGGAGAATAGGCTAATGAGAGGAGAGATCAACAGGTGTCTTAAATGATTTTCCTCTGAAAAGGAAATACTTCAGAAATTGAACAAAATGGCCACAAGGGCTCTAAGGCAGCACCTGCCACTCAGCTGGATCCTGTCGGCCAGTTTGGAGAGTTGTTCAGGAAGTCGCCGCTGCTTGATAACGCCCTCAGGAGTGACTGACACCTCACACAACGAATAGGCTTCAGCGGCAGCAGTCAAGGCAAACTCTCGAATGGCCTGAGCTACAACTTCTTTTGCTGTGGTGTCCTTCCCAATCATGATGTACCGACTTTGCTGGTCTGCCTTGAACACTCGCAATACCTGGTCTGACATGTCTAAAAAAAATAAATAAATAAAAAAAATACAGAGGAAAGGACTCCATTTCAATAATCAAGACCAAAGTATCAATCTTTATCTGGCTGGAAGTCCACTTATTATGTGTTTCCCATGATCATTTTACATTACTAATGACCATATGTCACAGTAAGTCCGAATCTGAACTGATCCACTTCTGGATCAATGTAATCAATTTATGCATTATCTCTACATGAACCACTTGCCCCACTGTGTTCAATATTAACCCATCACCGGAAGCTTCTTGGTGCATATGCATATTCAGAAGACACCTTCACACCAAGCAAACAAATCAACTTTCAATGTCAATCAATCCCATTCTGCAACAATAAGCGACATGAATCAGTGAATAAGAATCAATTAACTAAAGAATTTTGATGAATCCCACCAAATGCAAAGTGTTCACAGATTCAGACCTGATTGAGTCGCAACAAACGGTGCTACATAAAGAACTTTAGATAGCAAACTCAATGTTAAAATTGAGCAGACAATGCTCTGAATATGATTGTGATTAGAAAAATGAGAGTAGTTAAGCCCAACCTAAAGCCACAGCCTAACTCTAACTCTAACACCTATCACTAACATCTGAGTGGGTAATAAGATTTTTTCCCCCCCAGAACCAACAAGAATGCTGAAACCACATTAAGCGTCTTACCAGGTTGGTTGTTGAAGTCGAGTATGCGATGGTGTGACTGCAGCAGGTCAGGGTTGCTTGATGAAAGGTTTCCACTGACAGGAAGAGCAGGAGGGATCTGCTTTGACTGCTTAAGCCCTACAATACTGTCATCCTGAGACTGTCCCACCCCAACGTCACTGTTAACAAACCAGAAGAGTTATAATCTGCAGTGAACCAAATCACCAAAAGAGCTTTCTTTCATCAAGCTCATCTTACTTGTAAGGTTTGGGTGGAAGAATACTGGTCAGTGTCTTGTCGAAGATCTTCTTCAGCTTGTTTCTGCCACCTACGGTGTTGGCCTTGGCTTTTTTACTAGCTTTCTCAAGACCCATGACCTGCTCAACATCCACAGCCAGGTCAGGGATGGAATAACGACTGGCTTTCTTAATGTCCCCAATTTTAGGGATGTGAGGTGCCCCGTTTTTCCTGTCTGGCTCCTCCTCCTGTTCTTGCTCCTGGTCCTGGTCAGGCCTGGCCAGTAGCTCCTTAAACACTAAGAGCAGAGAACACAGCACAGAGGAAGAGTTTTAACAATGTCATCTGACATTTTCAAAGAGCAAATAGTATTTCAAAAGCAACTACATTTTCCCCTACTGCAAGAAGAGAGCTGACTGGCAATTTTTAGATTAAGTGTTGTTTTAGGTATAAATGACTGTCTGTGCAGCTGTGGTAATTTCAGCCAGTGTAACTTACCTAAGAGATTGGTTTTCACAGTAATGGACAGGTGCGTGTTGTTTTTGAGAATCTCGTTGACTTTGGATAGCGGCACATTTTCAAAGTTTTGCCCATTTACCTCTAGTATCTGAAAAAAAAAAAAGATGGAAATCCGAGGTCTCAATCAACATTGCAGCTGGGCCAGTAGATAAATACATATAAAACAATGCTCTGCCCACTTTTTAGTTTTTAGAACATGCACACTTGTTGATTTTGTCATAGACATTTTTTTTTTTTTTAATGGTGACAGTTTACAAGCACCCCCCAGTATTTGGTGTATGTTCCCTTGTTACCAATTATACAAAATAAATTAAATGTAAACTTATTCTATGCAATATTTACTCAAATTAAACTTAAAATCAAATAGTTTATCCATTTATCCAAAGCTGTTGACTTATACAAGGGGGAACTACCACGTCTTTTAATTGGCTAAGCGGACACGGTTATTGTCAATAATCTCAAAAAAGGCTATGTATCAGCTGATTAGCATTCAGAACAATCAACAATCCTTTTGTGGTTCGGAGGGCAAATAGATAGCAACTCATTAAACAGCTTTATGAGCCAAATACTGCACTGAGTGAAGGGCAAAAGAAACAGTGTGACACTCAATTCATCTGAAATCACATTTTCCGCTTGTGTGAAGACATTTAGACAACAGAACAAGTTAGTAGACTGAAATGTATGTACTTTTGTGTTTGAAAGTCAGACTAAATGGAAACAAAATCATTTGTGCTCTTTTTCTTTATGATTTAGTAGTATGCTTTCAATGCTGTGACTAACTCCGCTTTCACTGGTTGACAATGCCAATTACAGATGCTCTCACACAATGTTTTCCACTTCCAGTCCCACAGCACTATTACTGCTGCTAATGCCACAGCAAGTTGCTATTACGGTGTCAATTTAACAACTATTTCTGTAGCCTACATCAGATCCTGCATGGTGCTGGTGTGACATTACCTGATCTCCTCTTTTAAGGCCGGCCTCAGCAGCTTTGCTGCCTGACTCCACGCTGTCAATGAAAATGCGAAAGCCCTTCTCTGAACCCCCCAGCAGGGTGAAGGCCAGGGGGGCTTCCCTCGAGGGTTTTGTCAGGGTCACCACCCGCAGTTTAGCTTTGGCAGCACATGCTATGTTTAACAGTCTTAGGTGCCCACACATTTTCTGGTTCAAAGAAAGGCATTACATGAGATTTTTGCAGTCAACTCAGCCACAAAGGAATTTAAGGTTTTATTGCACACAACTGACCTCTCTCTCCAGATTGTACTCGAACTCCTCAAGAAAATGTGTCATTGCGAGGTCACCCTCAAAGTCGTTGAAGTGATTGTTTACCCACAGCAAGACTACCCGTGTAACCTGATGAAATGTGAGGTTACCAATCGTACATCTCATCGAGAACTGATTGGTTTAAATGCTTGCACAAGTGTGTCTATGTACCTTGTCCCTGAGACTGGGGTCATGGAACCACTCCAACAGTTTCTTGCCCACCACCATGGGGCTTGGCAGGAAGGTGCGGTAGGTAAGCAGGAAGTCCTCGATGTAGGTGGGGTCCACCACCGAGTGCTCTTCTACAAGGTGCATGGTAAGACGCTCTGGCGTGCCCTGTAAAAAACAAATATGCTCTTTAAAAGGATGCCAAAGCAATGCATTTTTACTCCAATTTTGTCCTGTTACTCTCTGATGTGGGGTTGACCAGAAGAACTATGAGTCAGTTTCATTGTTGTTGGGCAAAGTTTCCTCAGCTCCAATCGTTAAGGTATTGGACTTGTAAAATATATTCGATATTCAGTCCATATATGCTTCTACTGTGCTAAGCATATTTCCATGTTTAGGAATCAATAAAAGGCTATGTTCAATGCATCTGTGTAAATCAGGGCAAAAGCCATGTCAATCGAGAGTGCAAGTCAACATTTCCTATTGTTTTTGCAGCGTGGCAACTCGTTATCTCATTGGGATCAATTCAGTCTGCAAACTCACACCTGGAATAAAATATCATTTCTCTTTGCCGAAGTGCCACAAAATAGAGGTGCAGGAAACACTGGTGTAAGTATTAAATCCTTAAGCTTAAGTGAGCTATAAATGGACCTCATGACAGGTAACATCCGTTCTGGCAATATGATTTATGGAAAAATTACAATTCTCTAGTTAGGAATAAGAAAGCCTTTTTTGTCACTTCAGCTACATTTCTGAACATTTCTTTACCTCTGGGTGTGAGAACTTGTCACACTCGTTCTGAGCTGGGTTCTCACCTTGATGACAATGTGTCCTTTTCTGGTGCCTGTGCGGTCAAGCTCACGGTGTTCCTTCACCATCACAATCTCACCCTCCTCTTCCACCTTCTGCATATTTTTCTCAACTTGGTTGAGGATACAGCAGTAATCTTGCTGTGCTATGCAAACAAACTGACAGAGACAGCAAGAGTGAGCAAGACGACACAAACTGTGAGGGGAAAGTAAATCAGTTTTATGATGCAGCAGTATACTCAAAATGATTTCCCCATGATAATTACACCAGTGCGCCGAAACAGAGACAAGATTTCATTATTGCTAATTTTTCACTAATCACCCACATTATTCTCATGCTTAATGAATGGGCAGAGCCTCATCATTTCTGCAGTAAATGAGTCATTACAAACAGCCAAAATAGGTTGGGTGGGGATAAGAGACATTCTTCTTGTTTTTGTTTTTTATCCACAAAAATGTTTAAATCCATTAAGTATTGTTTGACTCACCTGGCAGTCATCCACCTTGGTCTTCATCACCCCCTTCATGTACTCTTTCTCCATAGTGGGGGACACACCGAAGCTGTTGCCCATGCACAGGATTTCCGTCCGGCCATCTGGATGCGTCACCTCCACTGAGCCGTTCAGAATCACAGACCATGAGTCCAGCTACAACAAAGGAACGATGAAAAGTTAACAGTAAGACACAAATATTTTTAATATTATATTACAATTTAAAGGTCCCATATTGTACACCTTTCTGAAGTTTTATTTTAAGTTTTGAAGTCCTTAAGAATATATATTTGCGGTATAAGTACCAAAAACCATCCCAATATATTTTTACTTTGTACTTTCTCAGGAGCTCTGCCAAGAACAGTTCGATTTTGGCCTTTCTAATTAATATTCATGAGCCTCTCTTCTGATTGGCCTGTTGTTTTCTGAGTGATGCTCGGCCAGGCCAACCACAGGTAACTAGGGTCATGTATGCTGGAGCCTGCTGTGGCTTGGTGATGCTCACAACAAGTAAGGTAAATAATAAAATAAAAACACCTGTAATGATGGACATTGCTGAGGGAAATGTTATCCGGCCTTATATGTTCGAGCCGGACTCAGACCCCGAATCGACGACGACAGGAGACAAACAACCGCCTCCTTACTTTCGGCGTTATTGTAAGAGTATTATAATTACCATTACATCAATGCTGCACGCAGATTTAACATTAGCTAATTTAAACTGTAAACAAACTCAGACTTTTTTTTTTGTCAAATTCGATTTAAATCTCCAAAATATGTACGTTAATAGCTAGTTATACACTTAACTGCTTTATAATATGTAACGTTAGCAGACAGACACCGAATGCAGTAAGCTATGTAACTATTGCTTTCCTACTGATACAGTAAGTTGACGTGCTACAATTTCTTTTACAATGTAACTTTTTTCTGTAAAAGGTGTACTTGTGGTAATTGTGCAAGGATGCCCACAGAACGCGAGAACATATGCTGCAATTGACGCCCAAGGTAAACTTGTAATACTATGAACTGTAGGGACTGCAGCATCTTTGAGGAGTAGCTTTGAAAAACCATTGAACTGTGCCTGATTGACGAAGCTGTCACTTGTGAAATATCCAGAACAGACGGTTAAGGTCGAACTAAATTGCTGTGGTGTTTCTGAATAAATAAACATTAGCCACTATTCTCTTATATTAATGTTGTTCGGAAGCCTGTGCAATGATGTAGTTTTGTGACGGTGGGCAGTGTTTGGTGACTGAAGGCGGTGACTGAGTAGTTCTGACGTCACATTTATACGGAAGTCACAACGGCTCGTGAAAAGGCACAGCTACTTTATGCAGGCTGTGTGCATTTGTCTGTGGATTGACTGTTTTGAAACTTACTGGTAGTTACATAGCCCCTTGACCTCTGTTATCATGAAAAAAGGAATTTTCAGTTTTTACAATCGGGGACCTTTAAATCATTTTCAGGATGCAATACGTAATATAAACCTTTGTGGTAAAATACAAAACTTGTGCACATGGACTTGGGTATGTGCTGTTCCTTTTTTTTTTTTTGAGAACATTTAACAGCAAAGAACTTGTCATCACAGTGAACTATATGAGCCTCAAGCTCTATCCTGCTTTCAATTATATGGATGCATTAGGGGAGAAAATGGCTCTTTTTGGCATGTCAATACTGAGATAAGGAGATAAGTGATTCCCGCTGTACCCCGGGCATCTTGTAATCTCAAGATGCTGAATGCTGGCATCCATTGAGGTTTAACAGTGCAGAAGCTGAATGGCTGATTGGATGTGACGAAAGGGGGGTGGCAGTACATGTAGGCAGTTCCACAGAATCAGCACAAGACTGAAGTGAAAGCTGATGAAATATTAAAGGTGAATGACATAACTTCAAATCTTTTTTTTTTTTTTTTTACAGGATTAGGGTTAAAGAAAGAACTAAAATTGGGTCACTGTGAAAAGCTAGGCCAATAGCTATCATTGTAGGAAAAAGTGCTGGGTATGTACTATACATACTAGGCCACACATATAGGTTAAAGGTTAAATTGTGGCTTCAAGTAAGTGCAGAAAAGCTAAAGCCATGTCACGGTAAGTCTGACCGACCTCTTCGCCATCATTAAGGACGACTGTGCCGGCCCGTTCCACCACAGCAAACACCATGACAGCACAAAGCTCCCTCCTGACGGACATGGTCATGTTGGCAAAGGCCGGTAGCTGGTGCATGAACTCCAACAGTTGCTCTGAAGAAACAGAGTGAGAAAAAAGAAGTGAAAGATACATTTAAGACTAAGTGAGATATATGAGAGTCTTTGAAAGTCTCTCATTGTTATTTGTTCTCTCTATCAGATGCAGTTTGTTCTTCTCACATGGAGAACGGAAAACATTCTTTCCACTGATATAAAAATAACAGCAACCAAGCAATGAATGCATTATTAATACGAAGCTATTTCTGACAATCGGCTAATCCTGCTATGCAATATACAGGACATATTATACATGACAAAATCTATTTCCACCGTGACAGAGAATTAAACAGAAAGTAGTTTTTTCAACTATAGACACTTCCAAGGGGTTGATTTTTATTAAAAATAACAGATTTTTACAACAAACAATGTTTTGTTTTTTTCTTTTTATTATATGGATGTCAAAATAAAGCTGTCTTAAACTTAGAAAACTTTTAATAAAAATAGCTTTGATTTTTAAAAACTACAGTATGATGATCAAAACTAAGAGTAAAATAAACCATTTAAATATTTAGTGCATGGAAATAATTTCTTTAATTATCAATTTATAGACATATTACAACTGTCCCTCAGTTGCTGTCATTTCCGTTACAGTTTTATCAAAAGTTGATCTAGTTGATAACAGTGTCAGTGAAGAGCTCAAGATAAAATTTAGGACATGCAATGTGAAAAGAAAAATACATTTTAAGATAATTAATTGTGTATTAAGAATAAAATGGAGCTTGCCTTTTTATTTCAATAAGGCTTAATGTGAATTTCACCGCAGAATCTTATTAAATACAACACGCCATTTGATGTGGCAGAAATGACACTGTGATGGAAATAATGACCTTCAGAAAAAGTGTATGTACATCAGTTCCTGTGATGTACATATACAGTATACACTTATGAACATTGTTATTGGACATTTTAAATCAGTTAGTGAGAATGTCTAATGTGTGTTTAATTGTCTTACAGTCTACAGTGCCAAAAGTACTTAGTGAAATACCCATTTCCATATTTTTGGCAAGATTGCCTGTCTCATTTTGACAGCCTAGCCAAGCCTAGTCTATACAGTGTGTTTGTCATTTTGTTGCACAGAACACAGTACATTAAACCTCTCATCCATCCATTCATTCCAACATGATCATTATTTTACAATCAATATGAACGACTGGAACTGACCAGCAATATAACAGTTTTTCTATAGTAAGTTAAATGTTATTCTTTTCATGCTTGACAGACCAACTAAATCAAGTATTTGGTTTTAGCTAGTGTGACAGGGGGCTGCCCAAAAGTCCTGAGTAATTCAATTGAAATCAAGAAGAGTAAAGACAAGAGATTTTGGATTTTGCTCATGGCCTATCTGGGTACTCGATGACCTGTGCCTGGCACGGCACCACTGAAGCGTAGCTGTGGAAGCAGCTAAGCCAATCAAATTTTAATGCGCTCCGAGAGACTCGGCTGAGAGGGTGACCTACAAAAAAACAACACGTCTCCCCCACATGCTTTTCTTTTGTAGTCTTCCCGACCTTTTGTTGCCTTCTTTTCCTGGTAAATTATTTCATTGCTTTCGAGAATCTCCACTTTCTTCCTCCAGCCAATTCTAGTGTTTGCATTATGTTCTAGCAATTGCCAATGCTATTCAGGGTTATATGGGAATCGCTCACCTATGTCATCATCCGTTCGGTCCATGGGGTCTTTTTCCAGACAGTCCCGGACGATATCTCGACTCATGAGGGGATCTGAGGCCCGTTCAATATCTTCCTCATCGTCATCCTCCTCGGAGTCAACGGCCGTCTCGGGCAGGCCACTGAGGTCCATGTCGCCGGGCTCACTCTCGGTGGCCTATGAGTAAGAAAACTTCAGTCAGTCATAATAAAATTATTTTTGTTTTAGATTCGTAAGTCACTGTGGTGTTTCTGCAAAATTAATACATTTATCCTGAACCCTGAAACTGATCACTGACCTAGCATCAGTAATTAAACCGATTTTAAAAGTATATACATTTATATAAAGCACAGACCTCAAAAAAGAGATTAAAGGCTAAAGAAAACCAATTCCTTTCCATTAATTCAGAATCAAAAGCAGAAACCCTAGAGACAAAAAAAAAAAAATGAAAAATTCTAAGGCGGCAACAAACAACCAAATAACCAAGCACAGGTAGCAATAGCAATATTTTCTAAATAATAAAATACAGAGATAGATGTTTGAAATCCATGTTTGAGAAAATACAACCCAATACTTCCCCAGCACATGGCCTAACCTTAGAAGGTAGGCAACAAAAGAAAGACCCATCCCGTCATGTACGCCACAATCTCCTGTCGAAACCAACCCTGATTCTCTCACCTGACCGAGGAGCCCCAGCGACGCTCTATTCCTCCCTGCAACTGCCCACAATGTCGCCTTCACCAACTGCTTGTAGATGCCGGGTCCCAGCCGCATTTTTAGAGCTCAGGCTTCCAGCCACTTTTAATTTTTTAAACCTCTCGATCTGGGCTCACACAAACGCATGTCATTTAGACTTAACTGACCTGCATTACTCATCAAATATTCAGACGGTGCCGAAAGCAGCCACTCAGAGGGCGACTGGGGCGGGGCGTTGTGAGGCTGGGCTCTTCTTTAGGGTGGAGACAGGGGAGTGGGGGAGGATGGCGGTGACAGGTGGCAAAATGCACTAATATAAAAAAGAGAGGGCTATCTATCACATAGCATCCCTTTTAAGATGGTCAACACAACTTGGGGGAATAGATCACCTAAAAATAATAATTCTGTCATCATTTATTCACCCTCATGCTGTTCCAAACCTGTATGACTTTCTTTATTCCCCAGAACACAAAAGGAGAAACACCTAAGAGTGTTTTCCATGTGATTACAATAAATGTTGACTGAAGCTTTTAAGTATTTTAAGCAAAGCACCATAAAAATATCACACAACAAAAATAAATAAATAAAAAACTTGTGCACAGTGTTAGGTTTAAAAACAACAACAACATGCTTTGTGTGAGAAACTGACCACAATTTAATTTTTTTTTATTAAAAATCTTGACATCTGTTCATAAGAGAAGTGGCAATGTCCTCTTCTTAAAGGAGAACTCCGGCGCAAAATGAACCTTTGGTCTAATAAAACATTGGTACCTAGTCAACCGTTCTCTGAGATTTGTTTTCATGATAATCGAATGTAAAGAGTTTTATCTCGAAAAACTGTTTAGCGTATAACGCTAGTAATGGGGGCATACAATAAGTAAAAAGAAATCGCTAGTTTATACCACTAACAAGGCTCAAAATAGCCCCACACGAACAAAGTAACAGAATGAGGGTCCCTACATGCAAAACGAAGCATTGAGAACTTTGTAAGTGTACAGACCGTTTAATAAGAAGATAAAGATAAAGACAGTCCACTTCGTGTATACAGACAGGAGCCATCTTTGGAAAACAGTCTCGACTAATCAAACCACGAACGCCATTCATACAGTTCAGCTCAATTAGCACGTCGTTCGTGGTTTGATTAGTCGGTATGAAAGTTCTCAATGCTTCGTTTTGCATGTAGGGACCCTCATTATGTTACTGTGTTCGTGTGGGGCTATTTTGAGCCTTGTTAGTGGTATAAACTAGCGATTTCTTTTTACTTATTAAATGTCCCCATTACTAGCGTTATACGCTAAACAGTTTTTAGAGATAAAATTCTTTACATTCGATTATCATGAAAACAAATCTCAGAGAACAGTTGACTAGGTACCAATGTTTTATTAGACCAAAGGTTCATTTTGTGCCGGAGTTCTCCTTTAAGCAAATGATTCTTCTCAATCAGATTTTTTTAATAAATCGTATTCCTTTCCATACTGGACTGATATGGTTTACAAGTCCAAATTAATGATCTGACTCAATGATCTGGTCACTAAAATAACAACTTAAATTTCAATCTGTTCCTGAAAAAAAAAACTACTGTATGGCCTCAGAGTATGGAAGCAAATAAGAGACATAACTATTTGAAATTTAACAGCCACTGAATACTTAGTTTTGAAATATTTTATTTTGAAAAACATTTATCTGAATTTATTTGCTCTGAATTCACCCCTTTGAAATTATTTTACTTTGGAAACCATGTGCTATCTGAATTTATTTGTTTCGAATTTACCTCTGGCATTTAAATAGGCCTATGAAAATTCTTGATTTCCATTTTAAAAACCTGAATTTCGATGAATATTTTTCAATGCTCACAAATTCAGATACAAAAAAAAAAATCAACTTACAGAATTTCAGATAAAATAGATTCAGGTTGATCAAATTCAGCTGCTCAAATTCAGATCGAATAATTCAAGTTAAATATTCACATGGTAACATCCGGGCTACCCAGGATAGGCCACGCCCACACCGGGGGGAAAACAACCCAACCGTCTCCATTGATTTGCATTGCGAGAGGCTGCCTCGTCATTTATGACTTATATAACAAAAAACAAAACAATGTCTAAAAGCTGTTGTGAGACAAGGTGTACAGCAAACAAGCTAAATAACCAAGATATTATTTTTTATAGGCTGTCGACCCCAAAAACGATTTGTTTAGGACATAAAAGTGGATCAATTGAGAAAGAGCGCAACTATTTCTCGAACTACTCTGAGAACTACGCCCACTGGAACGTGACATGATATTGTAAAAAAAAACACACAAAAAAACATTCATAATTTTAACCATGTCGATTGCTTATTTCACCACCCTATGTGAACCTGAGAAGAGGAGATATATTACATTTACCCATTCTTCCTGCTGATGCTTCACGTCTTATTGCCTGTAGCCTATCTACTTTTGTCTCCTTAAAGGCTGGCTTTTACGGTTCGGAAGCTTATAAAAATGTATTTCTGTTTTTTTCAGCTTGTTTGCTGAACACCTTGTCACACAGCAGCTTTTAGGCATTTTTCTGTCTTTTGTTATATGTTATAAGGAGGCAGCCTCTCGCAATGCAAAGTCAATGGAGACGGTTGGATTGTTTCCCCTCGGTGTGGGCGTGGCCTAAACACGCTCTGTCTCTACACAGGCTCAGCTGTTTTTCCTATCCTGGGTAGCCCGAATGTTACCATGTGAATATTTAACTTGAATTTTTCGATCTGAATTTGAGCAGTCGAATTTGATCAACCTGAATCTATTTTATCTGAAATTCTGTAAGTTGATTTTTTTTTTTTATCTGAATTTGTGAGCATTGAAAAATATTCATCGAAATTCAGGTTTTTAAAATGGAAATCAAGATTTTTCATAAGCCTATTTATATGTCAGAGGTAAATTCGAAACAAATAAATTCAGATAGCACATGGTTTCCAAAGTAAAATAATTTCAAAGGGGTGAATTCAGAGCAAATAAATTCAGATAAATGTTTTTCAAAATAAAATATTTCAAAACTAAGTATTCAGTGGCTGTTAAATTTCAAATAGTTATGTCTCTTATTTGCTTCCATATCAAAGATGCTCAGGTCATAGGAACCAATTTTATGGTTGTTTACATCCTTTTTTGAAGCTTAATGGCTCAATGTAATTGAATAAAAAAGATCATTTCTCCTTGTGTGTTCAATGTAACAAGGTCATACAGATCTGGAATGACGTCGGTAAGTAAACGAACACAGGGAGAACTGTTTCTTTAAGGTCCTCATGAAAACCTCCATGAGCTCACAGATGCTCGAAAACTCTGTGGCACACATTTGTCCAGGAGCTCGGACTGGAGTTAAAACATGAACACGGATCTATGAATGAGCAGTATTTACAAAGTACAATGACAGACAATCTCAAACGCTATATCCATCAATTCGCAGGAAACCCCAGTAATTCCCTACTCTCGACTGTGAATTAAATATGCATTCTCTAGGCAGTTAGCTACTGGTGCATGGCGACTGGATATCTATGTGCTTAAACAACAACAATCTTGTTGAAGAAAGGTATCAATGACTGTTGATTAATGCGGTTTCAAGATCTTAAAATCAATACACTAAGCAGTCACCCATTAGCTGAACCTTTTGGGATTTACATTACATCACATCTTCATCCAGACATGCCAGGTTGATGACTCGCTTCAGCTCATTAAGCCTTGAAGAAACCGAACGCACTCAAGTCACATCTTGACAAACCAACTACGCCACGTCAGGGTCGTCCAATCAGTTTCCCTCCTGTACTTTGAGGAGATGCAAATCAAACACCACCACTAATGCAGGCTGAGCAGGGGTCGAGCTGGCTTCTCTTATGAAAACCGTTTAAGAGCTAATCAGGAAAGACAAACATAGGGGCTGATAATACATTGTAGCCGATGAAAGTACCAATTTATCTTTCAAACTGCCATGTCTGGTGCGATCCATAGCTCTGTTTGGGCGGCTAAGATGAGCGTGAAGGGAACATTCATTTTTTAGTAGGGCTATTCTTGGATCAATGCTTTCAAGCCTCCCTGAAGAACCTGCATCATTATTTATTCAAATGTTAAAAAAAAAGTGACCGTTTTGACAGTCACATTGAGGATATGGGCCAATAATCTTGACAATAGAGGCCTGAAGTACTGTACGATATCTGGAGCCCAAAAGTCTCTTCTATTGTGTATTATTTTGTGTGGTTGGATAAAAATAATAAATTTAAATTGAGGTAAATGTTAAATTAGAAAATAAGCATTATTTCAAAAAGTGAGACTGAATTTTTTTTTTTTATTATTTAAGATTAAATTATACACTATCATTCAAAACTTTCGAGTTAGGAGGATTTTTAAAACATAAATTAATACTTTTATTCAGGGAGGATGCATTAAATTGATCAAAAGTGAATGTAAAGACATTCATAATGTTACAATAGATTTCTATTTCCAATAAATGTTCTTTTGAACTTTCTATTCATCAAAGAATTCTGATAAGAATCACGGTTTCCACAAAAATATTAAGCAGCACAATTGTTTTCAATATTTAAAAAAATAACAAATACAGAAATACAACAAGAATACATAACATTTTTTATTATATTAAAATAGAAAACATTTATATTATTTTGTAGTAATGTTTAACAGTATTACTGTTTTTAGTGTATTTTTGATGAAACGCATCTTTTAAAAAATCGTACCGACGTCAAATTGTTTTAGTTTAAAACTTTTGGAACCTACTGTACCTACAGTACAACAGGAAAACATTGTGTTCGATTTGAAAAAAATCAACTTATAATGACTTGCTCTGTTAATGCACTTCAACAGGCTTATTGATATGTTGTACACCATTGGTTGGTGCAGAGGTCAGGGGTCAATGAAAGGCTAGTTATGTTCAATTAAGTTTTATGAGATGGCAACATTTTCTTTCACCCAGTGTTCAAAAACTACAAAAAACACTAAGTGTAACTAATTCAGATTTCAAATTAAGCAACAAGTCACAAGAGCCTATTCATTGCAGTAATTTTGCCACGGGTATGTGATGCTCTTAGGCATAATGCACAACCTTTTGGGGTTTATTGCTTTTGTAAAATGGCAATATAATAAAAGACCATGATGTTCAATAAATTATAAAAAGTATTAATTATAATTAACAGTTTTTACATTAAGTAATATAGTGATACACAGCAATTAATTAGCTTAACTGTAGGCTGTTTATGGTTGCCAGGCAAACACAAGAATAAAAGAATGTACAATTTTAGCTTCAAGCGCTACTCATCCAATCAGAATTTAGAGATGAAACAATCCATTTTATATTGACAACATTTCATTCAGCCTGCTCTTGTTTTATGAGGCGTGGACCGCAAGGAGAGGTGAGGAGCATTGTAGTAAAGTGTGGTGTAGAGCAGGGAGATCACAACATCTTTTCACGAGGACACAGTCCAGCTGTTAATGAGCCTTTAACAGATGGCCATCAGGCCAGGATCAAGGACACTGCATAAACTGAATTATCTCCCATACACCTTTGCACACAGGCCGCCGCAAAACATCCGCAAACACATCACGCAAGGAAATCAATTAAACAGCCAAGCAAATACCAAGCCAAACACAATTAATACGATTAATGGAGGAAAACATAGACATTTTAAAGACCGACACAAATATGTAAAAGGGAAAAGGGGTTCTTCTGTTTTAATCTCCTTGGCTCAGTTTCACAGGTCATTGGCTCAGGTTTTGGAATAGTGACAAATGTTTAGTGACAAATGTTTATCAGGGGACATGCATACTGATAAAATATGTACCTTGAATACACTGTAAGAAGATTTGGATAAACGCATCTGCCAAATGAATAAAACGTAAATGAATGAAATTAATAAAGAGGGATAAAAATTGCATGCACATTAAAGAAATAGTTAAAAATTGTTAAAATGTTTGGGATCAGTAAGATTTAAAAAAAAAATGTTTTAAAAGAAGCATCTTATGCTCACCAAGTCTGCATTTATTTGATCCAAAATACAGTTAAAACAGTAATATTGTGAAATATCATTCAAAATAGCTTTTCTATTTGAATATATTTTAAAATGTGATTTATTCCTGTGATGACAAAGCTGAATTTTTCAAGCTGACATTACTCTAGTCTTTAGTGTCACATCCTTCAAAAATCATTCTAATATACTGATTAAGTGCTCAAGAAACATTTATTATTATTATAAATGTTGAAAACCATTGTGTACAATTTTTTTCAGGATTCTTTAATGAATTCTTATTTAAAATAGAAAGCTATTGTTACATCATTAATGTCTTTGCTGTCACTTTTGATCAATTTAATGCATTCTTGCTGAATAAAAGTATTAATTTGAAGTGTTTAAAAAAAAATCTTACTGACACAAAACTTTTGAACGGTAGTATAATGTAACAAAAGCTTTTTATTTCAGATAAATGCTGTTCTTTTGAATTTTCTATTTATCAAAGAATCCTGAAAAACTTTGTGCACAACTGTTTCAACATTGAAAATAATAAGAAATGTTTCTTGAACACCAAATCAGCAGATCATGTGAAACTGAAGCCTGGAGTAATGATGCTGAAAATTCAGCTTCGACAGTACAGGAATAAAATACATTCAAATTGAAAACAGTTTAACAAGTTATTTTAAATTGCAATTATATCTCACAATATTGCTTTTTACTGTATTTTTGATCAAATAAATGCAGCCTTGGAGAGCATAAGAGAATTCTTTCAGGTGACACGGAACAACATGAGAGCCAAGAAATGTTTTATTTGTTGGCAAACCTTTAAGTCCTAGCTGCATTAGTCACTGAGGAGGAATAAACCAGTAAAAATTGTCAACTGCTGTCAGTTCAGAACATGAAGTATGTGTCCCATTTTGATGGCATTTGTCACAAAGCTGCTACTCCCACGTTCCCCAAAGACAAGGTGTCTAGCAAGGAATGGTGTTGTCACCTGGTAAATGTCCGACAGGCTGCTGCTCCCAGAATCACTGGTGATGCTACATCCTGAGTGGCTGGAGGAAACGTGTGTCACCTGCGGGTGAATCCCGTCTGCCAGGTGTAACCTGCTGAAGTCTGCCGGCAGCTGCACATGGAAACAAACAGAGTGTCAGGATGTACAACTGACTGACCATAAGTCCATAATCCATATACATCCGGCAATGCATCTAATAACCATGACAGCCAACCAGCCAACCTGTTCATTGACATTTATCCAAGATTTTCTTCCTGTATATGACCTCAAAGCGAATAGATATAGACTTAAAGCAACAAAGTTCTGATCTTGATTTCATTGGACTTTTAAAATGTCAAAGATTGCAGTGTGGCTTTTTTGCTAAAGTTCAAAGTAATGTCAGTTTTGTGGAAAGCTGCAGTGCGCTATGCTATCATTTATTCATCACACCTGCAGTCTGATGTTTCTGATATGACTTCTCAAGGATTTTTGGTGAAACTAAGCCTCAGACACATTTAATGTTTTATTTGAGCTGAAACAAGACCGGACAATATCTTAAACAGGGGCAGGTTTCCCCTCCACAGCATCCATAGCTCTGCCAAATGCAACAAAATGTCAGCCAGGTCAGTTACATTTAATGTGGGGGTTTGCTAGTTTGATTTAACAGAATAGCACAGCCCCTTTGCTAATGCTAATGGTTGTTGACAAGCGGTTTTGCACACAAAACTATTCTATGACCTCAAAAGACTTGGGATATAGTGCATGAGCCATATGGACAACTAAAGACTCATATTTTCCACAACCATGCATCTTTTCCACAAGTCTGCTATTAAGCCTGCATTGAAGCCAAATTTGGACTGAAGCTGTAGAGAAAATGATATTTCTAATGCAAGAGAGCCTTGGGATTGGAGTACCATCTTGGCTTACAGCAAGAACAAGGCTGGTTCATTTTTACATAAAAACAACCATTGGGAAAACAAATAAAAATTCATAATTAATGAAAGAAAGACGCTTTATAGTTGAAGACTAAAAGATGCATGTGGCATGATTTTTCCTCAGGTTCAGTGTGAGCGAGCAGCTCTTTTGTGACGACGGTCTGTACATATTTGAAGGGGTGCGGCTGCAAGAGAGAAGTGTGTGTGTGTGGGGGGGCTTGTGCAAGAGGAAAGGCTCTGACAACAGCACTGAGATAAGGAGCTAAGAACCAATTTCAGCTAATATTAGAGAGCACACATCCCACACACACACACGGCCACATTCCGATAAAGCTCATTCAATCGGCTCCCGATTGTGTCTGTGTGTGTGCTCGTGTGTGTATGTGTGTTCACGAGTGAAATTGCTTTTTTGGGGGGCTATTGGATGTCTTCAGCCAGCTGTGGCTGAGTATAGCTTTCATACAAAATGCATCTGACCTAATTTCCACTCCCATAATCATATACATGCCGGAAATGCAGCCAATTCTCCCGGGAGACGGAGAGCTTGAACAGAGAGAAAACAACCTTATAGATGGAGTAGAAGCAGATAAGGAAAATGATATATTTGCACAGTATCTGCAGTGATACAGGTGCAGTAACAGAGGGGGGAAGGAGGTAGATGCCTGCTGTTTGCTGTGCTGTGAGGCTAAAGGTGTTTTAACACACTAATGTGTTGATGAATATTCCTCCTCATATGCACAAATTCATTATTTGAATCTATTGCCATGGCAGTTCATTCATATTAATTGAGGCTATTTACACCTAAAAGCAGAGAGACAAAGAAAGAAAGAAAGAAAGAAAGAAAGAAAGAAAGAAAGAAAGAAAGAAAGAAAGAAAGAAAGAAAGAAAGAAAGAAAGAAAGAAAGAAAGAAAGAAAGAAAGAAAGAAAGAAAGAACAAATGTACAACAGAGCAACAGAAATAACAAAATGTGGGACAAATGAAAGAGAACTAACAAAAAAGGCAAACAGAATGAAGGACAAAAATAAAGACAAACAATCAAATATCTAGAAAACCAAGAAATACAAAGATTAAACAAAACTATATAAAATAAAAATGAACCAATGAGAGTGAACAACAGAATGGATGACGATAAATTAAATAAAAACTAAAGAAATACAGAACTACAACAGAGAGACATTATGAATAGAACAACAGAAGAAAAGCAAAACATTTAACCGAAAAAAAAAACCCATTTAAAACAGAAAGCAAGCACAGATTGAATGAATGAATGAATGAGGATTAAATGAAGACAACAGAAAAACAGAACAAATGGAACCGAATGAAAGAAGAAAAAATCAAAAGAACAAACAAGCAAAAAAGATCAAATAAATGAGGAAAAGAACAAAAAAATTAGCAAATGCAAGACAGTATGAAAAAAACAAAAACAAATGGAAAAGAACGAAAGAAAAGAAAAGAAAAGAAAAGGTGTATTTAATTCTTGTAGCACACTAGTACACACTCACAGTGATGTGTTTGAGTCCACACTATTAGGTCAGTGGGTGCATTCAGCAGTTCAAATAAAGGCGCTGTGATAGCAGCAAAGTGTCTCAATCCTCCCTCCTCATCCCTTCGGTCGTGTTCCTCAAGGCTATTCCCTGAGCAGTCCTGGATGGCCACAGAGCTGTCAGCTATGATACACACATCACCTCTGCTCACGCTTCCACTGCAGAAAGAAGCCATCAAAACCTCCACCACGCCAGTAAATTCACTTCTCACGAGTGTACACGAGCTTTCCTCGCGGCTGTCAAAGAAAGGAGCAGGGGACGTTGAAGCAGTTACTAGCTTTCGCTGAGCGGAGAGCAATGAGCGATGCCATTTTTCAAGGAGTCTTATTGTTTGTAAATGAGGGTGATTTGCACTTGATTCCTCCCACAGGGGTTTCAACAGTACAGGGATGTTTTAACAGCATCTTCATTACGGTCGGTGACAAGAACCTTCTAGAAAAATAAATGTACACAATTTAAGAAAAGACTGAAGTATTTTTTGCTTCAAGTGAATTGTCATTGATATTTTTTAAATTTCTTTAGGTGAAGGAGAATAATTGTGAGAGACCGAAGAGAATTGTGAAAGAACACCTAGTTTTAGGCACAACACCTGTTTTCTGAGCAGGAAAATCTGCCGAATGGATTTAAACATTGTAAAATGTTAATCTGTGCTGAGAATATGATCAAATTAGCCACAACAGTTAGTAGAGGATATATGGAACTTCATGAACAACCACAGCTGTTCCAATTCTGCAGGAATCTCTAGATTTGTCTGTGGATCAGCTTATGACAGAAGAAGTGTTCCAATTCCCTAAACCTCCCGAATAGTACATAAACTGTCTATGACGTTCAATGCATCTTCCCGAAACCTTGTCTGATCTTCTCCTAAAATACTTTCCTTTTAATATTTTTTTTTATAAATCTCACTGCCACAAGCTACACACAAATAGGCATTTACTGAACAAAAAATGAAACTTTGGAGACATATGAAGTATATTCTCTGAGCTGGATATACATGGGCGATATACTGGTTAACTGTATTCATCAAAAAAGATAGAATCACTGCTCTCAACCGGTTTTTTTTTTTTCTGTGTGCGTGGATCCGTAGAAACATCATTGCTTTCAAATAAAAAAACAAAAGATCTGCACTTGCTTGTCTTCCTTTTTAAATTATTTAAAAAAAATATTATACAACAAAGCACGTCTGAATCATTCAATTCAAACATTTTGTAAATAAGCCTTCATCAATGAATCATACGATACTTTCCCCAGACATCTTTAAAAGAGTGTGAGTCCAATAATCTAATCTAATCACAATATAGGCAAAATTGCAATCTATATTATTTCGCTATACGTTGCATATTTATTCAGGCCACAGAAACAAACCTGTTACTGAAAAAGTCAGTAATGTACATATATTTGTCCTAAATCGTTGTATTTTAAAAACTGTTTTTATGGAACTATGATTTTAAACAGCCGGGGTCGTAGTCGGGCACCGGGGGTGTGTGTACGTACACTCATAGAAAATGTTAAAGATGTGGCGCTGCACAGCGTTTCTCAGTGTGCCCCCACTTTAAAATGTCATTAAAGTGCTAGAGCACAATTTATGAATCATAACCCGCCAAATTGACTAGTGTGTTGATATGTGGGATTTTCACCCACATTGAAAATTGGTTGGCAGGTGTTCATTTCAAACCAGCAAAGGATAGTATAATCTCCTTTGGTCATAATTCAAATTTTAAAAAAATGACCATAAAAGTTTCATTTATCAGCAACAGCCCAACTTATTTTGACTCTACATACATCTTTGGTATGCAAAGACATAATTTGGACAAATTGCTGGCAGCGACAGCAGTCGATATACATGTGTCAATAGCAATATCCTGCATGCCTCCCGTGCCCACCCAGGGGTCCGCTCCTGTCCTTTAAGTGCCCTTTTCATGTCACTGTTACAGAATAATGACTTAACTCTCTTACCACACAATTTAGGGAAGGCCTCCGTCAATTAACCCAAGAGGCTTTTAGTCCAACAGCGCAGAGGTCACAGACAGCACGCTACACTCGCAGGGGTCCCAAATATCCCTCTTGTGATGCCTCCGGGAGGGGGGGGGGTAAATAAATGAATAAGCTTATGGCTACATTGCCCTTTTACACCCGAATATGAATGTGAAGTTAATAAATGCTATAGGGTCACAGATTTACCGGATCCTTGCTCTTTGAAACGTCTGTGCGTCACAAACTGTTTCTAAAAACCCAAATGAGATACTGCAGTCCTAATTACCTACATAACTAGACAAAATGCAACCAAAGTCCCAAAAAGGCTTCATGCAGGTAGGAAAGCTTATTTTAAGAACAACTTCATGGATACTTGTTTCTAACATAGTCCCTACCTGCTGTTGAGCATTTGAGGTGTGGATATATGAACATGTTGCTACATCTGTGTGATGAGCTCATGTCGGTCAAAGCAAAAGGTGTGACATTATTTAAAAAAAAGGGCTGACACTGGAGGACTCAAAGCTGCAAACGTATCCCATAAGCCTCAGCATCGCTCTATATAGGGGCCTCTCGCTTTCCTGAGCTGAGAGGATCAAAAGATTAAAGAGCTTCGGCTTGGTGTCAGATTAAACAGGACCGATATTCTCACAAACGCAGGCCAATATATTTACTACGCT